ACCACAGAAGCAGACAACCAGTAAACCAGGATGATGAAAAAGATAGGGCTCTTAATCATGAATTTATTCATCTTGTTTTTTTTTAAAAGATTAATTGAGAGCATCAAATTATTCAATTCAAAACAATTCAGTTCTAATCGGAGTTCCAATTGTGATTTGAGCTTGTTGCACTGACGTGTAATGTTGTCGCGTGCGCCGTATGTTTGCGTGATAATCAAACGGTTCCAACTGAAGTTTTAAAAGTCTATCGTCGCCGTAAAAATAGACTATTTCGACAAATATCCAAACAGCCCCACTATCAATTAACAGGATTTTCACTTGTCCAGGTAGATCTTAACTTTATTTACAATCCAGCAATGTTTCACTTTCAAATTTCCAAAAACAGCGGTAGAAAATGTGCATAAACCGCGGAGCGGTCAAGCTCGCGCCTCACGCGATAGCGCGTCACGTAGTAATGAGGTTATTAATTAATCCAAGATGGCGGACTGCATGCTCATTGCTTTCTAATCTGCAGAAAACTAAAATATCCAATAGCTAATTTAATCCATAACTTTAAACGTTCTTTCAAAATGAGACAAACTAAATTTTTAGTTCCAATGTCTTTTAAGTGCACAGAATATAGTTACGATAATTACGGCAATTACGTCACAAATACACTGTTTTCAACTTAAGACCACCTTAAATGAAATGGATTCAGTTTGTTTCTCACGGGCTATGGTCAGAGGAGCAGAACATCCTTCGTCAACACATAGATAAAAAAGTTTGGACTTTGACCAGTAAATGTGGAAATAAGCTTAAACACAAGAACGAGGCTGAGGGATCATGCTAAACCTCGTTCTCTCGTGTTTAAGCTTATTTCCACATTTAATAGTCAAGATACAAAATTCTTTTTATGCGTGTGTTGACGAAGGATGTTCTGTTTCTCTCACGGTAGCTACTGACGTATATATTATATCTGTTGAGAGCTCCATTGATGCTCACGTATACAGTAGCTCCATCAGTAAACTCAATGACATGTAATTAAATATATTGAGTTTACTGTGGTCCTTGCTTTGACAAAAATTTCCCGGAGCGGACATTTTAATTTGCTATTGCATATGGAAAAATTATATTTTGGAAATGACATGAAGTTGTTTGAATTTTCCAGCTTTTTCTGTTTCTTTTTTAAATTGGCTTTAAATGGGGGGGGGGGGCAAAATTATGTTTGGCTTATCTGAAAGATCAAGTTCTGAGATATATTTACAAATCCTTTTTACACTTTTAAGATATTACCCTTTAATGATTTACCCATCGGAATAAAGTCTATCTTTTGAAACAATTGGCTCCTGTGGCACCGATCTTTATCGGCTTCAGCAGGCTAGCCCCAGATACTCTCAGCTCCTTACTGTTAATTTATTTTGTTCCTGGAGTATTGTACATACTAGCCGTTTCGTCTACTCGCATGCTACACGTCGTCCGGTTTGACGTTAAAATTTCCCCCCATCTGTTAAAAATTGAAACAATATCAATCAGAAAGCATGCAATATGAGAGAAAAGTGTTAGTCAGAACATTTTGGTTGAGCCCAATGACAGGGGTCTTATTGTGACACTGTCTCTTCCCCAGGCGCTATAAAACGTCGATTTCACATACGAGTCATTATATAGTCCCCCAAAAACTGTCGAAAAACCACGATTTGCAAGGAACAGACGAATTTTCCAAGGAACAAAAACAAGATCTCCCAGGCGCTGCTCAATTTTCGTTGCCTCAACCCCATAAACCGCTGCGCTTGTTCGTCGCGATGCGCCATTTCATGTAAACCTTTTATATAGTGACTCGTATATGAAATCTTTTTATAGCGCCTTGGGACGAGATAGTATGTAACATGTTTCTCCTCAAGTTCTCTTACACAATACAATTATTTCTATTCCAGGAGGTGACTCACACTTAGGTTCACGTGCTCACATGCTAGCTTCGGAACGACAGGGACCAGGCTGCCAGTGGCGTCGCCATGCAGGATTTATATATTTTTTTGGTGGGGGCCAGGCGACTTAATATTTGTGAGTCACAATTCTATGGGGGTCCGGGGCGGGGGTATGGTTTTGAAACAAGCAAAATCAAGTTTTAAAAAGTGTCAAATATTAATTACAGAATACTCGACAAATGAATTCAATGGGAGACCATACAGAGAAACGTTCAGTAGATTATATGAGTATAAATGCGCGCGCAAGATACGCAACACTGTCTGCTGACAATTTCTCCTTTGAACTAATCTAAAACTAACCTGCTCGCAGCCCGAGTGGGGGCTGTTGAGCAGGCTAATCTAAAACTACACTCTGACAAACATCGGGGGGGGG